GCGGAGGGAGTTGGTGTTCGCAACGATGCTGAAGCGTACCGCACGCTCGGGGACCCCATGTTCCCCAGTCTCTGCGCCTTTCATTGGTTTGGTTTATATATTATATTATATGTATTGGTTTGGTAATATACGTAATAATGAGCGTTCGAAATATGTTCGAAGAGTGTTCAATTCGATATTTTTTATTTTCAGAAATATATACTTTGTATGTCTTATAGTTTAAAGAAAATTTGTATAGTACATTTTAGCTTGTAGATTTAGTAGTATCGTTTAAAATATTCGCTCCATTATTCTGAACGTCAAGATTTTGTATATTTGCTTAATGTTGATTAACAGTTTCGTAGACTTTAAGAAATGAAATGAAATTAATAAAATTTGGAAAATGTTTACAATTTTTCTGCAATCTTCTAGTTCATATTAATGCCAAAAATGCTTTTCTGCCCAGCATACTACACATAACAAAATTCTGTCGCAGGCAAGAGACCCGTACATGTACCCAGGCTGTTGGCCGTCATCGGCAACATTATTTGGCCTGTCTGTGTATGAGATAAAGAACGACGAGAGAGGATTGGTACGGGATAAAGAAGGGACGGAAAGTCTTTGTTTTTAGAAAATCGTACATGAAGTTTTCTGGCTGACGAATGGGTTGCACCATGATCAAGTTGTACATAAACGTCTCATCACTCCGCGCGATACTCATAGGCTTATTATGACGAACTACAGCAAATTGTAGCAAATCTTATTTGGTGAGCTCTAATCCCTTTTGTTCGTTATCTGTGCAAATGTGTTTTCTCATGTCCGGAAAAGTTTTTTCATAGCTTGTACCACCAGGTTGTATGCGAGTTGTCGAAGCACACAAGGCAAGCCTCCGGTGAATATCAATAAGGAGAGACAGCGCTAGGGGTAATGGCCCCCCCCTAACGCCAATTCAATAGTCAGGAAATATTAGGACTGGCTAGGGTGGTCATCGTGGAGTTTTAGTCGGTAAGAGTCCGACACTACTCTGCTGTTACGCAATTACTGCAACAGCAGAGTGTCCATGAGGATTTCTCCACGTAAAAAAAAAAAAAAAAAAAAAAGGTTGTATGCGAGTTACTCTGGTTTATTAATATACCTTGTTCAAAGTTGACCAATAAGAGCTTTTTGAGGCATGGAGTAAATTGAATGCATCTTTGTTGAGTCTAGATGATCCAGAATGGCGAACGTGACGTGAATTTTGTAATAAGCCTCCTGCTCTATGGGAAAGCCATCTAAACATGTACGTATTGTTTAAATATTATTGCTTTTGTTATGCTTATCAAAAAAGAAATAATGTGATGTTAATACAATGAGTCATAAAATGTTCAAATGCGTTGCGTCAAAGTTTTTGTGACAATTTTTATATTTATAAAAGTTTTGTCTTCTTTTAATTACATAAGTACATGATAGTTGTAACAAATTTTTGTTCCATCAGTTTTCAGGCAGGTAAAAATCAAAATATACTCATTGAAGACAAATGTTTTTCAGATTCAAAATTGCAAATTTAATATAATTGTTTTACGGATTCAACAGTTTTCTCTTAGGTGGAATAATTACTTAAAACATATTACTTGTGCTTTTGATACGCTGAGAACAGAAGAAGATCTCGTTGATGTAACCTTAAGCTGCGAAGGAAAAAGGAATAAGAGCAGACAAAATGCTATTATCTGCATGTAGTACATATTTTAGAGATTTATTTAAGGTAGAGTGAAATTAAGAATTTAATAATTTATTACTGTTAACATATATTTTATAAATGATACTTATTCTATTTTAGGAAAATCCATGTCAGCATCCTGTTATAATATCTCGTGATGTAAAATTCGATGATTTGGTTGCATTGGTTGATTTTATGTATCAGGGTGAAGTAAATGTGGTTCGGGAACAATTATCTAGTTTTTTAACAACTGCTGAACTGCTTGCTGTTCAGGGTCTTGCCGATGGTACAGGAAAAGATAATGATAGTTTAGTAGAGGTATGTTTTTCAAAATTGTTAAATATGATTAGATATTTTCTGCTTAAATTAAAATAATACACTTGTATCACGTTAAACTGTGTTTC